TCTACTATTTGGCTGAAAGGTGAATTCCAGGAGAAGTACCAATTGTAGGTTACAGGATATATTAAGCCATTATTCTTGGGGCTTGCTGCCCAGTAAGTCTGTCTAATCTTTTTTGTAAATTTGAATTTTGTTCTGTTTTCTCCCCATTCTAACCAGGAAATCCTTCTATTGTGTTCATTGTCAGACAATAGGTAGTACCATCCAGACACTTCCTAGTCCCTCTGAGCTTGGATTATTCGAAGAGGCTGTGATTCAGGAGGGCTATTAGCCCTGCGGATTAGTTTCTTCCTTGAAACTTTGGTTTCCTTCATTCTCTTTGACTACAGATGAGTAGAGACCAGTTTTTGCACCTTAAATGGTGCTCACAGACACTACTCATAAATGAATTGACTCAGTTAGTCCATACATCTCAGTTCATAGGCTCTTCAATTCCATGAGTTGGATATGTATAAGAAGGCTTTATAACTCTGTTCCCCATGTGGGATAATGTGTGTTTGGATATATACAGCACATACAAACATGTGATTGACATACACCTACAGGGGCACTGAGGAGCTCTGGTGGTGTAGTGGGCTACCTATTGAACCGCAGATCATAGTCACTGATTCTAACTCACCGGCCATGCGCCGGGAGAGATGAAACTGCCTGCTCTCACACAGAGCTAAGATCTGAGGAAACCAGAGGGAACGTTTTAGTCTGTCCTTTGAATCTCTCTGAGTAAAATTGACTCAATGGCAGCGAGTGAGCGATTGCAGTGGAATCGACTGGATGCAGTGGGTTGGTTGGTGTACTAGTTTGGTGGTGCAGTAGGATAAGCAAAGCCATCAGTTCAAACCTACCAGCCACCCCTTGGGAGGGAGATGAAATACTCCTAAATCTACTCAATGGATTTATAGTTTGGTTTGGGTTTTTATATCACGTCTACTAATTATGGTGATGTTGTGGGCTAAGTGGTGGACTGCTACCTGCAATGTGAAATGTTGGATAATGAGAAAATCAATAAGTGAGGAGTGGATGTATTGATATTTTAGCTAAAACAGTTGTGATATGAAATCTCCAGAAGTTCTGTAGACAAACGGAAGTATATGACTTTAGTTCTTGGCTGTTTGCATACAATTGTTGGCTCAGCCTTTCAGTTAGTCAAGAAATATGAAGAACGCCATGTTGATGTTTGACACGTGAAGGTGCCCTGGTTGGGCTGCAAACAAGGTCAGCAGTTTGAAACCACACCCTCCCCAGAGGAGAAAGACGAGACTTTCTGTTCCCCTGCACAGTTACAGTCAGGGAAAGACACACGCGGCGCAGCTGCTCGGGTCCAGTAGGGTCACTGGGAGCTTGGTTTGTGTTTGCTTGTTTGGGTTAGGCATGTTATAAGTACATACTTTAGCACAGAATACAGGAATATCAGCCATTAACTGATCTTTATTGAGAATATTTTAGTTCAATTTGGTATTCATATCTAATTGCTGTTCCAGAGGGAAGTCACTTACCAAAGGAATCACTGGTAATGTTTGCACTGATAGAGTCATGTAAATCCATCAGCATTTAGTACTCTTTGATGCCCCACTGTATGGGAAGACCTGCTGGAACTGTGGGTTAGGTGTTGAGCTGCTAACTTCAAGGTCAGAGGTTCAAGCTCACCAAGAAAAATGAAGCTGTGTGCTTCTGCAAAGATTACAGTGTAGGAAACTCTGTATAGAGTTGCTCTGAGTTGGCATCTTACTCAATGGCATTGGGATTGAGTTTTGTGTTATTTTGGGGGGGTGGGGGAGAGTAGGGAACAGCCCTGGAACTGGCACCAGGGTTGTGTTCAGCTCCTAAGAGAACGGTCAAAGGTTTGAGCCTTTGGATTATTCCATGGGAGACAGCTATGCCAGCACTCTGCTGTAAAGATAATAGCTTTGGCAACTCTGTGGGGCAATCCTATAGAGCCATTGTTGTCTGGAATTGCCTTGATGACAATTAGTGGCATGAAGCAATGAAACAATGAAGAGCTATGCTATAAAATAATAATAAATGCATTATTGGTCCTGAAGTGGGATGGATGTCTTCCACAGAATATGCTGTTAGTTGTCATCACATCGATTCGGACTCGTGACGACGTCGTGTTAGAGAGTGGAACCACTCCATGGGCTTCCATGGTTGTCATCTTAACAGAAGCAGATTGCCAGCCCTTTCTTCCCCGTGGCACTGGGGAGGGCTGAGACCACAAACCTCTAGGTTAGCAGCCAAGCACAAACCGTGTGTGCCACCTAGGGACCTTCCGCAGAGCAACTGACAAGTCCTGAATGAGTGATTCAGAAAAAGCACGCCGGAGTTTCAGAGGCATGAGAAATCTTCTCAATATTTTTTTTCATCTTTTAAAATTTTTAATGGTATTTCTTAAACAATTGAGAGGTAAAAATATAGGTAGCACATTTTCCCGTTCAAATTAACAGTGTTTTTAAAGTAGTTCGAGACAGTGCTATTTCCATCTTAGAGCATCTTAGTAGATTATTACACTACGTTGGGAACAAGTCGCTTAACTTTCTTAGGTTGTTTATTGCTCTCCTAGAAAATAAATGATATCGTTAGCTACCTGGTCTCAGGAGTGATAGACATCATTGCCTGAGTGACTTTTCCTCATGACATTTTTTGTAGTACATAAAAAGGTTGTTCAAATTCTCTTATTGATATATTTTCTCATTTACCTAATGTGCAAGATGAGAGTGTATTTAATACCACAGTTATGTTTGAGTATTTTGATAGGCTTTTTTTGCATACGGCCTCAATGTTCAGCTTAAGAAATTGTTAAAATGGAGCAAAATATCGTTCCTAAAACTACCTTTTATTATTGCTGAAATTATTGCTAATTATGTAAGTGTGTTATATTCTTTCTCCTAAAAGAGCAAATTGGTTACCTATAAAATCTATATTTCAGAATAAATTTTAGATGTATCTGTTACAGAAATATGAAGGAGATTTGATTATAAATATCTTTAACTGTGTGTAGAGTCACTATGAGTTGAATATGACTCAATGGTAGTGAGTTTTGAGTTTTGATTCTGACGTGTTCATGACTCCAGTAAGATTGACTTAAAATACTCATGATCACATTGAGAATTTCGGGCTGGATACGTGTCTCTATTGTTTCAAAGACATTTTTAATGTGAAAGTGCTTCATTTAACTTTGCACTGATTCATATCTGTTAGAAAATGCCCTCTTGCTAGCAAAGTTCAATCAACTATGCCTTGTTCTAATATTTTGCCCAAAGTTAAAAATTTATGAGAAGTCATTTAAAGATACAGTTTGTCGTGGTGCTACTGTAGAATACTGAACTAATGCAGACAGGAAATGAGAGATTGCCGCAAAAGCATAGGGTCTAGTTTTAGAGTAAAATTTTACTATTATAAAATGATACGTAGCCAGGAATGCAAATATTAATATATTTCATATGCATTCTTTAAACTTGTTTCTTTTCTTATTTTAAGTTGGCAGAGAAGGATATTGCTTTTCAATTTTGCCGTCTAGAGCTCCGGCATCAATTTAGAACTGTCAGGGGTGGGGAAAGAATTTAGTTCTCTGATTGAATTATCTAAGACTATTCAAATTACATTGCACCCTTCTTGCCTTGATAGCAGTCTCCATTTTAAATATGAATTGATAAGAAATTAAGAAAGAGCTGTATGACTAGAAAAAAGTAATGATCCCTCTTCTTTTTTGCAAGTTGCTGGAGAAGCAAAGAGTAGCTGTTTAGGCAAGTTATTGTAGTGCAATTGAGCAACAGGGAAATTAGAATATCCAAATTCTGAGTAATTAAACACAGACTTTCTGTGGGTACTTATGAGCAAGTTAACAATTTTGGTCACAAACTGAGAATTCTATTTAAATTTGGCTTCACTTTGAAAGCCAGAGCAAGTCTCTTTACTATTAGCTCTTAACTTTGGAAGAACAAAGGTATTTTTGATTATAGTCATACAGTCAGTTATACTGATAAAATTAAGCCTACTCTGTTAATTCCAAAGACAAAATTTTTTTATGTTTTGTTTCAAGAAAATTGGCTCTCTTTCCTTAACCAAACTTCACAGAAAATACTTAACCTTTCATTGAAACAGGCATTTGAGAATTTATATACATATACATTATAGTATTACCTCTTCAGTATGTTTAGGGGTTGTTCAGTACCACAGTTTTTACATTTAGCACGGTCGACTTTCAGGGATAGTAGATCACTAATAGATCACTAGTAGATAGAATAATCACTATGGTACTACTAACTCTTAAAGAGCGTCTATGATATTTCACTTATCAAAATAAATTGAAATTACATATGTTCTTCAAAATCATAGGATTTCTAAGCGCTATTATTGTTTGATGTCTTTCAGAAGTTCAGTGCATCAAAAGTCACTATTTAACTTATTTTCAGGTTTTTTCCAATGGTCACCTGGGAAGTGAAGAATATGATGTCCCTCCCCGGCTTTCTCCACCCCTGCCAGCTGCTGCCCTGCTCCCCAGCATAAAGTGAGTTTTATTGAATGTGCAGCTCTGCTCATGGGCTGCTCTGCCCGATAGGGTCGCTGTCCGTGAGAATCCACTCGGGAACAGAGGGTTTGGTTGAGTTTCGGTTAATGCAAGAGAAGCGTCAGTGAGCCGTTTCATTGACGTGGAAGCTGCAGTCACAGGGCTGCAGTGCAGCAGCAAGCGAAGGGGGTTGTTGAGAGCAGGGATTGGGTCAGCCGTTTCCAAGTGAGGACACATTTAGATAGCATTAAAGGGCAAGTAGGGGTTGTCCTTAAGGTAGCCATTCCTTACTCAGGGTCGTTTGAAGATTGATCCAATAACACCTATTAATGAATTGACTGATATAAGGAATACTCGTCAGCAATGACCTTTCCAAGATATTTTGACTACAGGAACGAAATGCTTTTTGTCAGATTTAGGGAGATTGGAGGATAGGTTTGGAAAGTGAGCTATGATGGTAAATTAAGATTTGTGGATCTGTATTCTACATTCAAGTCCTTTTTGAAAATACACTTGGATATACTATCTATAAACTTCAAACTCTATATGAATGTTAGGGAAAATATTTCAGGATATATCATCTAGAGATAGTGAATTGATTACTATATGTCCAGTGTCCATATAAAATCTATACTTTACTCTTGTGGAGTTGTGGTTTATGTGTAAATGTATTCTCTTGAAGGAAAGCTGTATATGTAGCTCTCAAATGCTGATGTTGCTGAAAATATATTTAGGACATTGCATTATGGTAAAAATTTTAATCATTAATTAGTGATTTTTAAATTATAATCTCCTCTATATATCAAACTTCTGGGGAAACCAAAAATACAGATTTGTCAATGCAGACTCACCTATCTCCTCTTTCCAATCCTTAGAGTTGTCTAAGAGGGTCTCACCTCCCAACAGCACTATAAAACATCTGCTGTTGGATGTGGGGGCGAAAGGGAGGCAGTCGTCTCTAAGAACTTGGTGGTTAAAATAGTCTATGGGTAGGATGAGTGTTAAACTATTTTCATTAAAACATTAAAAAATATATAGCAATTGTTTTGCTTGGTTTTAACTGGAGAATATGTGATAGAAAAAGAACAGGAAAGAAATACTAAGGCAAAGAAATTCTTTAAAAAAAGATCACATCATAATTTAAAGCAATTTAAGGGGAATGAGCTTAGAAATAGACGTTTTTCCTCTGGTACATGGTGTAGAACAGATTCCATTACTTATCCTTGACATCAACGGTGCAGAAAAATATTTCATTATAGTTTTCTTGGGGATTTGTGTAGACAATATGCACTTCCGTTTTACATTAATTCTGTTTATGTTCAGTGGTAAAGAATAAGTGACATTGGATAATATGAGAAAAAATCCTAGAAAACTTCTTTAATGGAAACATAGCTATAATTAAACGAGCACTTGCTCTCTATTTCCGTAAGCTTACTGAATAAATAATACTCTTCCATTCAGTTTTGAGCTAGCCTTCATTCTAATCGCTGAACTGGTTCTAACATTCTTACAAAGATGATGGTTTTACTGTTAGTGCTTTGCTTGCTTTTAACTGTAGTAGAAGGGAAGTTGTGCTATTTAGGGATGACAGCCCTGTAGAAATACCAGGTGACTTGATACAGAGAGGCTGATGCAGATTGGACACTTGGGTTTCTTCCCTGGGATCGCTGGCATTCAGCTCACGCAGATATGATTGCACATTTGGTTTTGACCTGCAAATATAATGCATTATTTGAAGCTCAGAATTAATGTATAAGTAGATAGGATTATAAAGCAACAATAAGTTTCTGTACAAGTCTCCTACCAACCACCATGATTATTCTGACAAAGATTTCAGACTACTGTGTCGTGAATCCCCAACGAAACAACTTGTTGCCACGTTGATGGGAAGAAAAAAAGGAAACTGAAAGTATGTCATCTACACTAAACAGAAACAGGGAGCGTTGGTAACACTGCGGCTAATAAGCACTGGGCTGCTGACCAAGAAGTTGGCAGCTCCACCCCACCAGCTGCTCCATGGGAGAAAGATGAGGCTGTCTGCTTTGGTATTGATCTTACGCCTTGGAAGAAACCCTGTGGGACAGTTCTACTCTGTCTGATGGGGCAGTCAACATGGACTCAATAGCAATAGGTAACAGACACACCACTAATAGATATAAAAAGTATAAAGTAAATATTATAGACATTTTCTCTCTTTTAGTTTAATATTATGATTTCTTAATACAGATAGATTTTTTTTTTTTTACAGATAGAATTTTATTTCCCCTTTTTCTTTTGTGGGAAAATGACCTTTGGAAAGCGGTTATACTGTAGATGGGAAGACATGCCACAAAATTAAAAATTAAAAATTAAAAATTAATTCTTTAATTTTATCTAATTAAATGCTCTGATTTGAACTGATAGGAAACATTAATCCCTGTAGTCTAAAAAAATAATGGTTTTCATTTATCACAACACTGATTTACAATTGAAAAATAAGTTATGTCGTCATTAGGATGTCCACTAGGAGCCCTGGCGGCATAATTGCTTACACGCTGGGCTGCTAACTGCAAAGTCAGCAGCTCAAAACCACCAGCCGCGCCATGGATGAAGGATGAGGCGTTTTACTCCTGTGAAAAACCTTAGTCTCAGGAGCCAACAGGAGAATCTCGCCTGTCCTTCAGAGTCACTGTGAGCTGAACTCGACCGTCATCCAGTGAGGGAGTGAGAACTCTTGCCTGACGAATTTTATGTTCTTCATTTTATACCACAGCAAAACTGTATCCCCCAGGGACTCAAAACCATGTTCCTTTTCAATATTTTCTGAGTTTGGGGACAAAAAAGAAGTTTGAAGGATTAAGATAGCAATGACAATGAATTGTACATGTAGAAGTTGTTGAATTATAGAATGTTTCGTTATGTATATTTTCGCCAAAATTGAAAAAAAGATGAATAACAATAAATGCAGAGAAGAAGAAAATATTCTAAAATTGATTGTGATAAACATCTTGATATGACTGAATTACTGAATTGTATCATATGTGGACGAAGTGCCAATAAAGCCATTAAAATAAAAGGATTAAGAAAGGGCCAAATATTGGAGAGGATGAGGTTTTCTAACAAAATTCCCTTAGAATACCCCTGTTACCCTCCAAGAATGATCAAGTACATTGTTGCAATGGAAAAGAATTTCTTGACCAATGTTCCTGAACTTTTTTTCACCAGATTTTCAGTTTTCTTAAAATATTTTCATCAAAAGCCTTTGGCCATGAAGAGAGTCTGTCAAGACCACCTCCTTTAAAATTCCCCTTAACAGTCTCTGTGTTAGTCTGGGTACATTAGAGAAACAAATCCACAGACACTCATATGTATAAGAGAGAGTTTTAGATAGAGGGTAAGTGCACATCAAGAAAACATCCCACCCCAGTGTTGCCCAAGCCCATAAGTCCAACATTAACCCATATGTCCGACACCAATCCACAAAGTCCTCCTCCGTCTCACAAAACACACACAATGACGCCGACTGCAGGAGGAAAGCCGAGTCAGTGGAGTCAGTGAACGTGTAAGCATCTCAGCGCTGGCAGGGGTCTCCACACGGCTACTCCAGCACCCAGGGCTGCACCGGGGTAGGTCCATGCGGCTTCTCCTCAGGGATGTCTTGCAGGAAGTGAGCCTTGCCAGCTGAAGCAGGGAACTGGCTAAGGCAGCTGCACCCTGGTCTGACCATCAGAAAGCAAGAGACCCGAGAACTGGAAAGACGAGGCTCACCAAGCTATTTATCCCTCAGCCCTTCAATTAACCCCACATGTGTTTATCGGCCAGCTTGGCACAAGAAACTTTAACTCTCTCAGTCGCTATAGCATTTAGAGCCAACCTCCTTGACTTGCGTTTAGCTGGTCCAGCAGAACCCTTGAGAGCAACGGGAGAGATGAAGGAAGTGTGATGGCACTTCAGGCTCCGAGCACACGGTCTGCAGTTTGGGAGCCCTCGATGCTCCTCTGGAGAAAGATGGGCTTTTCACTTCCCAGAGGAGTTCCATTCTCAGAAACTCACAATGGCGGTTCTCTCCAGTTCTGAAGGGTCTTGTGGGTCGGCAGTTCACTCCAGGGCAGGGAATTGTGTTTTTAGACTTTATTATGAGAGAACTTGTCTGTAGCCATCCACTGATCGGAGAGACATGTGGAATATGTTAGTTTGGAATAAACCCCTATTTGGTAGCAATGCTTTTTGCCTTGCCCCCCCATAATGGATTTTCACATCAAGTCTGTCGTGAGAGAGTATTTCTTTCTTTGGGTAGCTGTTGCTAGATGCATACATTTTTTTGACCCTTTGACTGTTAACCCATTTATGTCTTTGTGTCAAAGGTGTGGCTCTTGTAGGTAGCAAATTGATGAGTCATATTTTTTAATTCCCTCTATCGCTCTGTAGACTAGTCCATTAAACAGTTTACATTTAGTGTGCTTCTTAAGAGGTCAACATTTGCTACTGCCTCTTTTTTTGCAGTGTTGCCGGGGCAGTGGTGGAAATGTTTTCTTGGTTCTGCTTGACTCTCGGTGCTGAGTTCTTCTTGTTTATAGGTTTCTTTTGGCACCCTTTGCTCTGGTTCTGTGTTTGCTGACTGTTTGATAGATAGGTTTGTTTTATTTGTGTTTTCTCTGAAGCTTCTCTTTCCAAGTCTAATCTATCTTGATATCTCCTTGACTTCCTCTCCCTGTAGAAGTTTCATCACTTCCTGGTTGTTCCCTGTTTGTTTGGGAGTTGTCATCCTTTGCAGATTGGCTTTTCCAGCTGCCTGTCTTCAGTTGTGCCGCTTTATTTTAAAATTTAGATTTCTTATCTAGGTTGGTATCATCATGACTTTGGTGGGGATCTTAATTTCAGCTTATTGTCTGATGGTTCGCTTTCCAAATACTTGCCTATACTATTACGTGTCTGGTTTTTACAAATTCCTTTATTAATTCTGTTTATCTGGGAATGGTCTAGTTTTGCCATCATATTTGAAAAGACAGTTCTGCTGCATA